AGGTTGTGGTGGGGGGAAGGGTGGGGGTTGGACATTTGTATTTTAGATTATCATCTGTGTTGTCATTCTCCCTTTATTACTTTATCTACCTGCAAAATATGTGAATGCAATTGTTGGCATGCAAGGATTTATACCTTATATCTGCTGGGTCATAGAAGAGGAATCTCCAGGGCCAAAAGGCAGAACTCTAGATTGCTATAATCAATTTTTTTCTTGATCTATTTCTTTAGATGGTGAAACTAATTGTGTTGAATCTGAGAAGAAAATGTTTGATGAATTATCAGAAATGTTGTCATTCCCCGTTATTGCATCTGGTGACACCCCTGAAAGGCCCACTTATATCTAAAGGTTCATTCTGATTAATAAGTGATTGACTAACCACTTATTATTTGTTAGTGGTGCACATAAGTGTTTCCTTTACTCTGTTAACATTTTGAAACTTTCACAATGACGCTAATATCCCTCAAACCCATGTTTAAATAGAAGGAACTGCAATAGCTACTCCCATCAACAACTTCAACATGATAGTTTATGCAGACTTTAGATAAAGACCGTTCAGAAATAAATATAAGCTCTTATCCCAATGTGATCTAATTAGTCATCAGAGGTTTCAGATTGTTCAGAAATATATATGAGCATGAGCTTGCTAAAAGGTCTATCTTCCACATGGAAACATGGTTTGGTTCCTAAAGGACCCTGCTTCTTCCCCTCTTAACCTTAAATTTACTGGACACTTTTCAGTTTAGAAGCCTTTGCTGCAGTGTTTAAATTAAGCCCCTTTTGTGTGCAGTTCTTAAGTTGAAAAGTTGAAACTTTGGACAGATAATATCACTTGGGAAAAATTCAAATACAAGGTTATACTGACCTGAGGTAGTATGTGATCTATCAAGAGGTTCCCCTATGGCCCTATCTTATGGACAATTGAGATTTTTTTTATCAGCAAAACAAATAAATTTATTAAATTAAAAGATAGATGAAATTAATACAGTCAGTTGACAGGACTGTAAACCCAACAACACAACCAAAAATTACGTAGAAGCCCAAAACAGTTGCTGCCTCAAAACTCCTTGCCTAACAAGGACATCAGCCATCCCATTTGCAGTCCTTACCCATTTGAATTCAGCATTTATGTCCTCACCCATTTGAATTTAGCCATTCCACGAGATATGTCTGCTACAATTTGCCCATGAGATAATTAGCTTTGAGTCACCTTCCACCACTATCTTTCTATAACAATGTGTTAAAACGTGGAGGCATGATGCGAGGTGTTTCACTACCTAGAGGCATGAGGCATAGTTCAGAACATAAGAGGCGTAAGCCTCCCGAACACAAGGAGGTGTAAGCCTCCTTAAGAGGAGGGGGGATGAGGAGGAAGAAGAGGAAGAAAAATCTCATTTTCTTTATTTTTAATAATTTTTTTTTATATTAAGAAAAATGAAGATGCATAGCACTAGTTGAAAGGGGGGGGGGGGGCTTGTCGAAATAGAGGCAAGCGACCAAAGCGAGTGAGCCGAAAAATATTTCAAGTGCCCCAAGTCCTTAGTTTGGAATAGGCTTTGTGAGAACTATTTGAGCTTTTCAATGCCATGCTCATCACTTCCTATTGTAATAATAATGTCATCAACATAAACTGCCAACACAATCTTTCCAGAGGTAGTATCTCTATTGAACACTGAATGGTCAACCCTACACTGTGTCATAAATCTCCCAAACCAGGCCCTCAGAGATTGCTTCAACCCACAAATTGCTTTCTTCAACTGGAACACCTTTCCTTCCTCCCTCTAGCAACATAACCTGGAGGTTGCTCCATATACACCTCCTCTTCTTGGTCATAGTGGAGAAGTGCATTCTTAATATCCAATTGAAACAACAGCCTATCAAAATGTGCAACTAGAGAAAAAAGTACACTAACTGAACCCATTTTAGCTACATGTGAAAAAGTATTAGTGTAATAAACCCCATAGGTCTGTGTGTACTATTTGGCTACTAAGCGTGCTTTATATCTCTCCACACTACCATTTGCAAGATGCTTAACATTGTAAACCCACTGACAACCAATTGCTTTCTTCCCTGGAGGAAGAGAAGTAATGTCCCAAGTATGATTAAATCAAGAGAAGTAGACTCTGTTGATGAGAAGAAAGAGACATTTTCAAAGGTCACATAAGGAAGGGAAAAGGAGCGAAGAAGAGAAGGACTATAGCACTTATACCCTTTTTTGGGTCCAAGAGTACCCCCAAAAAGACACATTTAAGGGAACAAGCATCTAACTTATCTAAACCTGGACCTAGATGATGAACAAAACAAACACACCCAAAGACACGCGGAGGTAAAGGAAGCGATGATTGAGAAGGAAAGACAGTAGAGAAGGGAGGGGAACCACGTAACACCGAATATGGCATATGATTAATGAGAAAGAAAGAAGTAAGAACAACATCACTCCAATATTTTTTTGGAACTGGCATTTGAATCAAAAGTACCTGAGCAATGTCAAGTAAATGTCTATTTTTCCGCTCAGCTACACCATTTTGTGGTGGAGTAAAGGAGCAGGACAATTGATGTATTATGCCATGAAACTCAAAGAACATACGAAACGAGCGTTGGAAATATTCTTTTGCATTGTCAGATCGAAAAAATTTAATGGAGATGCCAAGATGATTCTTAATTTCAGCATAAAAGGAGAGAAAGATATTAAACACTTAGATTTCATTAAATAAATCCAAGTCATCCTTGAAAAATCATCAACAAAGGAAAAAAATATTTAAAACCATTGTAAGACTCAACTAGACAAGGACCCCAAACATCTAAATGAACAAGTTCAAAAGGCTCGAGACTCTAGCAGATTCCCTTGGAACAAAAGAGATGCGATGATGTTTACTAAGCTGACAAACTTCACATTGTAACTCATGAACAAACACAACATTTGGAACAAAACTATTGAGAGCTGGAAGAGAGGGATGACCCATCCGACAGTGCTATTGCAACAATGTAATGGAAGAATGAAGAGCTGTCTGTGATCCACCGCCATCTAGATTATACAATCCTCTAGCTTCATGCCCGCCACTAATCGTCTTCCCCATCTTGAGATCCTAGAAAATACAATAAGATGGAAAGAGTGAGACGGAGCAATTGAAAGATTTTGTTAACTTACTAATAGACATAAACTAAGGGGAAACTTAGGAACATATAGAACCGACAACAAAGAGAAATCAGAAAGCAAAGTAATCAGAACCGACAACAAAGAGAAATCAGAATGCAAAGTAATGCCACCGGTACCAAAAATAAGAGAGGTAGTACCATTAGCCAAGGTAACCGATTGGGTGGTAGAGGGAGGGGATAACGATGCAAATAAGTCTGAGGACCCAATCATGTGATCTGAGGCCCCATAATCAATAACCAATGATTTAGTAGAGGAAACGAGACATGTACCTAGCTTCGCAAGAGTTGCAGTATTACCAGATGAAGAAAAGGAAGACAAACGAAGTTTTTCATACTCTTCATGGTGATAGAAACCATTTCCTTCTCCTTCCCAGTGCCTAAAACAGTAGTAGGGTCATTGCCAGTGGTACCACTATCTCCTTCTACAACAACATGATTAGCCCAAGTAGATGGTGGGCCATGTAGATCATAAGAAGTTCACAATATGTCCTTCCCGTCCACAATAGCTTTTGATCATACCTCAACCACCAACATCAACACCACGACCTCTAAAATTCCCATCTCTACCACTACTATGACCTCTCACACCATGGTTACCACCTCTGGGATAACTGCTTCTGCCACGTGACCCACCTCTACCACCTTCCGTTGCAGCTAGGGCAGACTTCTCTAATATTGGAGAACTATCTATATGTGGACTAGTAACCCTTCTTACTCTGGAAAAAACTTCTGATAGTGTAGGTATATCACCTTGTTGTAGTTGAAAACATTCCTGATACAATTGATAGATTCTATTTACATTGTCTTGTCCTGAATACAACTGCTTAGCATGTTCCCAAATTTCTTTCGCAGTATCAAAGAACATCAGGTTCACACTGATATGAGGTTCCATATTGTTCTAAAGACGTCATAATCTATGCATTCTCCTAGATCCAATCATTATACCCTGCAGTTCCTGGGTCTGGTCTATTTTCTTTACTATATTTTAACTTTCCTCTGCCAGTCAAATTTACCTCAACCGACTTCGCCCATGGTACATAGTTGGTACCATTGCATTTGACTGATGTCATCTGTGCAGCCATGAAATCAGGTTGTTGGTTTCATTGCCAAAATCTGCCATCAGTTATTTCTGCAACACTCTCCCAAGGCGAACACCTTTCAGACTCAACAATGGCACTCAAAAAACTTAACTACAGGTTCAGAAACTTCAACAGCATGGCCGCAACCCCTAAACCTGGAACATCAGAACAAAAACTTCTACGAGTCAACCAACCTCACGGTTCACAGAAAACAACCCACCAAACACCATCCTCTCTGTAATTTATTGTGATAATTAATGAAATGTGTTATTGATAAAAAAAAAACACACCAAACACAAAAAATCAACCAACCGAACTTAACATTCATGGTTGCTCTTTGAACTGCCGAATAGAGGGAGTCTAAAACACCATCAAACAATCAACCAATGGTGCAACTTGAGGGCATGGAAGCCTCCTAACCTTCTGGGCAATCAGTCCTTTTAGGTCCTTCCCCTTCCTTTCTTCTCTTATTAGTAGAAAACCTCAGCCGAACCAGTTCCAGGCATCCCTTACTGATGCAGTCAGGAAACTCAATCAACCAGGCTCTGATACCATGTTAATTGGCCTGTATTTAGTTAAACAAATAAGGGGAAACCTTCTGGTATGATTCTAGAATGAGAACTGATGGAGAAGAAGAAGAAGAGAAGAGGGAGACGAAGATAATAGGGCAAACAGTCTCTATCAAATGAGAGAGAGCTACCGCCCCTATATGTTTAATTCATAATGAAAAGGAGAATTACAATATTACACCTGTAAACTGAGACTTCAGAACAGAGACAAAAAACAGAGTTAAAATAAAGGGGAAAGACTAAAATAGCCCCAGAACAAAAACTGTATTTTAACAATGTGCAACTTGTTATTGCTTCCTGATGTAATGTTGCTGCTATTGGAACTGGACTATATGGCTTTCTATTGACTCCACACCTTTACATGTTTTAGTCACCTATTCATCATGGAAATTTGATTTATACTATGTGGAATTTAAAGCCTCTTCTAAATTCAATGTGTCATTCATTCTAAATAAAGTACATAAGCTCTCAACTGTGTTATTTTTGGCTAGGTTGAAATGATTCTGCAAGCATTGGAATATGAAGTTGGTAAGCACTTTGTCATAGAAGCACTTCAAATTCATAGGCTTCAACATCAACTATAGTTGTTTTCAGAACTTCTGAATTGGAGACACTGTGACAAGAACAAGAAAACTAGTTGTTTTATTGAATTCTTGCATGATCCTTTTTATGTGTTAATGTGTATGAGAAAGTCAAATTTGTTGGCATTGATATTAATTTGCATACAGGTGTACATTAACAAACTTGTGCAAACAAGCCAATCCCTGAAGGAATATATTTAGGAGTGCATCATTAGCATGTTGTACAGTTTCAGTTCTATTGTGTCATTTATTTGCATAAGTTTTACCTATGCACAGATATGTGCATGAGTTATTCCTTTAATATGCTTGTGGATGTATTGATACCATGATTTTGTTCTCATTCATATAATTGTGTAAACACAAATTAGTCCTCTCTCTCTCTCTTCATTTACCAATATATGAAACTTGTTTCAAGTTATTGATAATTTGATATGACTGTAACTCAAAACAGTAACTAAGCCCCAAAAGGTTGTAGTCATTTATTTGCATAAATTTTACCTATGCACAGATATGTGCATGAGTTATTCCTTTAATATGCTTGTGGATGTATTGATACCATGATTTTGTTCACATTCATATAATTGAATGTAAACACAAATTAGTCCTCTCTCTCTCTCTCTCTCTTCATTTACAAATATATGAAACTTGTTTCAAGTTATTGATATAACTGGAATTCAAAACAGTAACTAAGCCCCAAAAGGTTGTAGAATGTTAATTATTTTTTGCATTGCAGGATTGATCTGGATGAGAGAGAAATAATAGAAGGGGCATAAGTTTTAGGATGTGTGGTTTCTCTGTGGCCTATGAATTACTTAGGCTTACCTTTGGGGGATGGTCCAAGAAATAACAACTTTTGGAATATAGTGGTAGAAAGGTTTACTAAGAAATTGGCTTCTTGGAAAAGCAATTATTTATCTTTGGGTGGAAGGATTGCATTGATTAAGTCCACTTTGGCCAATCTTCTCGTCTATTTTATGTCGGCGTTTAGGATTCCACAAGGGGTCAGCAAAAGACTAGAAAAGTTGATGAGGGACTTCCTATGGGAACTGAGAGAGGAGAAAAAGGATCACAGGGTTAGTTGAGAGGTGGTTAGTAGAAGGAATATGGTGGCTTTAAGTATTGGGAATATTCAGGAAAAGAACATACCCTTGTTGGAAAAATGGTTGTGGAGATTGCCAAATGATAGGGATAAACTGTGGGCAAATGTAATCATTAGCATTCATGGACTTGTGGCTGAAGGCTGGGACTCTGGAGTGTAGAATAGGGCAACAAGAGTTTCTCCTTGGAAATCCATTCATGACATTATGCCATCTTTTCTGCCTTTTATCAAGTATAATCCTAGCATTGGGAACTGTGTTAAATTTTGGAAACATGTTTGATTGGGTAATTCAACCCTAAAGGAGCAACTCCCAACCTTATTTGCCTTGTCAAACCGTAGGGGTGAACATATTTCCTCTTTCTTGACTCATTCCAACTCTAGGGATAGACTTGATTGGGACTTGGGTTTTAGAGGAGATCTTTGTGAGTCGGAATAAGTACTATTTTGCCTCTTCTCTAAAGTCTCAAGAAAATGGTCTTGAATCCTCTAGAAAGGGATAGTTGAGTTTGGACACCTCTTTCTAGATCCTTCACATGTGCCTCTTTTTTTAGGTCCTTAAAACAACCGAGTGATAGCCTAGGATTACTTTTCCAGTTAAAGAGGTTTGGAGTAGACTGTTCCACCTAGAGTTGATGGTTTTTGCTAGGAAGTGTACCTAGAAAGAATTAATACCTGTAATTTTCTCCAGAGAAAAAGACTTCATTAGTCATTATCCCCCACTGGTTTTCTCTCTGTAAAGTTGAGGGTGAGACTTGTTTTCACTTATTAATCTCCTGCCCTTTTCCTCTTCAGTTTGGGATTGGTTTTCCTCTTTGTTTGGACTTGAGGTGAAACCCCCCACCTTCTGTACAAATCCTGTTTGCCCCTAACTTGTCATCTGGCCAACGAAGAGGATAACCCTTTGGAGGTGTACAAAGGGCTGTTCTCCTGCTTTAATTGAAATCATTACTATTAGGGTGGTCCATTGGGTGAAGTCTCTGAAACTCTTTGAAGATTTTTCTGCTGGGAATTTGATGAGGAAGTGGTTTGAGATTGCTTGCTCTTCCTCCTCTAAGGCTATGGTTAGGCCTTTGTGGTTACCACCTAATGGTGTCTTCACAAAGCTTAACTTTGATGGAAGCAGTGAAGGAAATCTGGGTCCTTCAGGTATAGGTGGAGTATTTAGGGATGAGGAAGGTAGAGTCCTTACTCTTTATTTGGGTTCAATTGGGGAGGGTGACTCTTTGGGGGCTGGAATGATGGCTGTGATGGAAGGAGTGAAAAAGGTCAAGGAATTACTTATCCACAATCTGGTGATCAAAGGAGATTCTAAGTTGGTTGCAAATAGAGGAGGATACTGGTTGGTGGGACTACATCTTTGAGAAGAGGAAAATTAGAAGCCTGATACAAAACATGGAGGCCATCATACAATGAGTGAAAAGAGATGCTAATTCTTTTGCTGACTGTTTGGCTAAACAAGGGGTGGGAATAAATCAGTTTTTTTTTTGGGGGGGGGGCAACATTGTAAATTTTTTTCTGTTTTGAGGGAGTTAAGAGAGTTAATCTCTCCTTTTTTTTCCTTGTAATGCTTTGTCTCTATAATTTTAATGAAATGCTTGTGTTGTCGATAAGAAAAAGTATAGCTCCTTGCATGCATATCCTGATTGGAATATTTGACATCTATACTTTGTTCTCTGTTTTCCTTTTTTTTTTTTGATATTTAGAATGTGTCACTTTTGCTTCTTGTATGATAACTTTTTTACATAAATAAGAATGTTGAAAGCTCCTATTTAAATCTTAAGTTACCCCATCGTTTACCCATGAAACAAAGGAGATAGGTTTTGTGATAGAAGTAGAGAGGATGGTTTGTGAACTTAAGCCACACATACATTACGTTGGGATACACTGAAAAAAAAGACTATTTTGAAAGCTAGTCAATGATGGCCCTCCATGGATTCTCCTATATAAKCMRCRGCTAAAGTTGCAAAAATAAGAGCTTGAATACCACTTGTAAATAATCCAAGGAACATAACAGGTATCGGAACCACTGAAGGTACTAAAGAAACAAGAACAACAACTACTAATTCA